GGCAGCTGCCCCTGGGGTCTTGCTCCAGGGCAGGCCCACCAGGTCCGGGCCTCTCCATTGGCTGTGCTTTCCAGGCTGTAATCCCGAGGAGAAGCATGCTGGAAGCCACCGACTTATGTCACCCTCTCATGTCATTGCTGTTGGCTGCAGCCCTACGCAGCTTCCCATTCATCCTGAAAGTCGGGGCTGCCCCTCCCCAAAGCTACTTGTGTTACAGTCTTTGACTTTCTCCTTCTCGACTGGTTGGAAAATCGCTCCAAACACAAGCAGCACTTTCGCCATGACTCTGGCTGGAGACGGACCAGTCGACGTGAGCTCTAGCAGCTGGCAGGCGTGATAGCGGAGGTGCAGGTGGGACGTGAGGTCCTCCAGGTGGGACACGAGAGGCCAGGAAGGCGGGCTTCTCAGAGGGGCAGAGTGGGGCTCCCTCCCCGTTCATCCAGCTCCAAACGCTGCCTCCGTGCACCTTCTCTCTGCCTGTCTGTCTGTCTCTGTCTTGCTGTTCCCGTCTCTCGTCACCCTGGTCTAGGATTGGCACTGGCTGAGCTGATGAACAGGTGTGACCTGACGCCCACACCTGACGTGTCCTGTACCGCCTCCTGCCCCCCATTTCTCTGGAGGCCTTGCTCCTGTCCCTCTCAGAACTCTGTGGTCCCATCCCCTGGCCCGAGACTCCTTAGGACACTTCTCAGTCCTTCACGGATGGGAAATGCCACCACGAATTCTTAGCTGATGTCCCCCCTTGCCAGGGAATCGTCCCCTTCCGCACGGATCCTGGGGCCGCCACGCCTTGCTGCCAGACCTCTGCAAGGCCGAGGCCCTGGGCCAGCTCGCCACAGACGGTGGTCACTGTGGTCTGGCCAGAGAGAAGTGGGGAGCACGGCAGATGTGAGGGAGGGGCGCTTGTGGTCCCTGAGCACCCAGGGTTGTGGGACCCCTGCCGGATCTGCAAGAGGCCAGCCCTCGCCTCACTGCCCGTGCCCACAATGCCACTCGACACGCCATTTGCGGTCAGAGAACACAGTGTCTCACACGAGTCCTTTTACATTTCTTGAGACTTGTGTTATGGCCCCAATTATGGTCTGTTGGTCAAAGTTCTGTTCTTAGAAAAAATGTAGATTCTTCTGTTGCTGGGTGGGTTGGTCAACTTGGGTCCAGTTGGTTGCCATGCACCCATCTACCATATCATTGCTGATTCTCTCCCGCTTGGTCGATCGGTCACTGGGAGAGGGGTACCGAAGTCTGCAGTAGTAACTGCAAGTTCGTCTGTTGCTCTTGATGGTTCTGCCAGTCTTTACTTCATGTGTTTCAAACCTGTCTTACTAGGTTCACAAATGTTTAAGATTATTTCATCCTCGTGACACACTGACTCCTTTATCTGCATGAAATGACCTTCACTTCTGTAACTTCTCAGCTCTAAAGTCCACATTGTCTAATATTAGAGACCCCGGCTTTGTGTCGACCGCGCCAGCACGATGCCTCCTTTCCGAGGCCTCACGTCTAACACGGCCCTCTCCGTCTGGAGTGGCCGCTGCCCGCCGGCTGCGTGTCCTTGGGTCTGGCTCCTCCTGCTCTGGCAGCCTCTGCGTCTTACGTGGCTGTTTAGACCATTTACATTTGGTGGACTTATTGATATGGCGAGGTTTAACTATCGCCGTGCTAATTATTTTATAAATTCCTGTTTTGTTTTTTGATAATTGCGTATTTTTTGCTACTCCAACGTATCTCCCTTATTGGTTTATTTAGCTATAACTCTCGCATTACTGTTTTAGGGGCTGCCTCAGGGTCGAGCTTCAGTTCGCCGCTACACAAGGACCTTGTGGTGTTGCCCAGGTCTCCTTTCCTGACTCCAGGACTTAAATAATATGAAAAATGTCTTTTCTGTTTCCCCCTGTACTTACAGTTTTTGGTACACCTGCACCACTCAGAGCAGAAAGTACAGGGAGGTCTGCAAGGCGGTGCTGCCCTGGCCGAGGGCCCGTGCTGGGGGCGAGCCATGCACGGCAGCCTTCGCCCAGGCCCTGGCTTGGGAGGAGGAAGGGAGAAGCTGGAGCAGAGGGAGATGGTGAGGGTAGAGGCCAGGTCCACGGCGCTCAGAGCGAGCCAAGCGGAAGCCTCAGAAGCCTCCATGTCCCTCCATCGGCGTTCTCCTGGGAGTTAGAAAAGGTCCCCCCGGAGCCCCGGGGACAGAAGAGCGC